TTTTTGTTTGATTAAATTTTAGTATTTTCCTTTTAAAATTTTTGTGAAATTTGTTCCTCAAATGACTCCTTTAAATGCCATGCTACTTTGTGATATTATCATCTAATTTGTGATGGGTGTTTACCCTTTTTAGTGATTAATGATTATACTTCATTTGTGTTAATACTTGTGTAAAAATCCAAGAAAAATGATAGTTTGATTGACTTTATTAGTCATGTGCATATGCATTGCCTTAGGTTTACTTTTACATGTTCACCCTATGTATCCTCATGTACTCTAAAACCTTTTGTACTTAAACCATAATTACATTTTCAAACTTTAACCTCTTTCATTAGAAATCTTGACTTTGTGTCATTGCATTTTCAAAACCTTCTTTTTTTAACAAAATGCTTCAATATACTTAATCATATCAAAACAATTTCAAAAGACTAAAAAGTGATTCAACGTCACCCAAATCTTTTTGCCACTTGGATTTTCAATTTAAAGTCTTTTCCTCAAAGATATTGTATATAAATCCTGTTCATAGAGGGGACATGATTCTCCTATCCCCATAGTAATGATTAAAGTAAATGCTTATTCTTTCCACATAAGGAAATTAGTGGCGACTTGTTGATCTTATATATCTAAGTTAGTAGTCCTTCCTTTATGATGATGCAAGATCTATATTCTCATACTCGTGGTGATATTAGTTGAGCATTCTCCTTAAGATGATGAAATATATTTTCTCCTAAAATCAACCGCAACCAATGTTTTGTTACTTTTACCATGAACTATGAGGTTTTGATCCTTTATTGGTACGCAGGTATAAGACTTTGTCTTTCCAAATAAAAATATAATAAAAAATACTTCTTCTCCCATCACCACAATCTTTTTAGCGTGCAAACAATTTTAAACCAAAAACAGATATTATAAAAGTTTCGTATAGAGTACTACAGATACATAGGATACTAATACCTTCTCTTTATATAAACTAACCCCCGTACCTTATATCTCTTCTATGTTCTTTTCTTTAAGTCTTTACTTCTTGCATTGCATGTCTAATTAATAGGGTTTCAACATTTTCCCTTTTTCTTGGAAACAATAAAGTTTGGTGGTGACTTCTTAAGTCCTTGCGAGTCAAGTTTCTCAATAGTTTGGTCTACTCAATTTTTTACCGCGACACTAATCTATTAGAGGGAGACTTTCCTCCATAATCAATTAAACAAATGTTCTAATTTATTAGAGATAATTTTTGCTTTTTATGATTAGGTACGCTTCCTAATCAATTAATTTTATAACATAGTTAATTCTAAGAATATTTTGAAACCAAATGAATTTTGTAAAACATTTCAAGTGTATGTTTGTACATTACTTTAATACTTTGAGAGATAATCACACTTATTATATACTAATGATCTAAAAGGATTAAGATGACTAAGGCACACTGTCATAACCCATTTTTTACCCGTAATATGTGCATTCATAACGTGATACTCATTTGAATAAAAAATAATGCATCATTAGTCAAACAATTGGCATGGGATCAAGGACCTTGCAGGCTAAGGTCTTCTTTTGGTTTGAGGCTTTATATTAGATAAGACTGGTTCATATGGTTCTTCTTTGAGCATTGAAGTGTGAATTAGAGTTTTTGATTCATGGTTATGGATTTCTTTCTCTTCAAGATACAAGGGATATTCCCTCTTCCAAACTCATCAAGGTCATTGGTCAGGGTTTATTTTCCTGTTCGAGACCGTGGATTAGGATTTATCCCTCAAACTCAAGGTTATCATATGAATGCCCAAGGATTTGGCTATGCAATCATCCCTGGAGCTAGGGTTTATTTCCCCATGCATTTGAGAATCAAAAGGGTTCCTTTATGAAGCTTTGGTCCATCGGTGAATATCATCATTCAAGGGATCTCAGTTATTGTTTGAGGTACAAGTTTTGTGCAAGACAGAATTTATAGGGAAACATAGGTTCCTCATGTGGGTCAGGGTCTGATTCATCATGGATCCACGACCACTTTCTGCACTTTTTGATAAATCACCAAAAAATTTTCACTCTTCTCTCCCTTTGAAATCTCCGAACCTTCATCACCATAACCTTCCTTCTTCAATCTACAAGCAACCTTCAACAACAAATTCATCATCGAATCTTCATCTTCTTCATATCAAATTTCAAAAACAAATTCATCATCGAATCTTTACCTTCAATTCTACAACTTCACAACGATCAATATCGCAACGCGTCAAGCTTTGGAATCCACAACAACGCGACTATAATAACACAGAAACATAGAAGAATAGGAAGAGGATAGAAGAAGAATTGTCAATAAGAGAGGATGAAGATTCATACCTGGAAGTTACTCTCTGGATTTCTGTTCTTCGACGTTGTCAAAGAGGGACCTGACTTTCTCTGATCGGTGAGTTCCAATCTTATGCATTCTTTTGCTTTTTCGTCTGTTTCTTCATGTTATAGCATAGGTTGAATGTATCTGAGTTGGATCAACAAAGTTTTGAGATTCAATTAAGCACGAGGATGATATAATTTAGTGTTTAAGATTTTAGGTCTTCTGGTTCGAATACAATTTACGGAGGCGAAGAAAGAATTGAAAGTGATGACGAAAAATGAGAACGGTGCTGAGTCGAAGGTTGATCGGAGGACGATGACAATGGACTGATTTCATTGGAGAAGGAATAGTTCTTATTATTCTCAAAACTTCATCTAAAACGAAGGTTTCTCGTCGAAAGAGATGAAGGGATGTCGTGAAGAAGAGAAAGGACGAGATGATGTGCGTCCGTAGTAAAATTTTATCGAAAATTTGAGGAAGAGGACGCGCTGATGTGTGAAATAAAGACGGAAGTCATGTTTTCACAATGAAATTGGATAGCCACTAATCCTAAACTAAAACACCAAGACACATTATCCTCTTCATTTTTATTAAGTTTTTTTATTATTCCTTTTAATAATGATAACAATAAATGTTGAGAAAAATTGAAAAGAAGAATATAAACCTGGACTGGTGTTGTTGTTGGAACTGGGCCGAACTCCCTCCATTTAGCCTAACGCGACCTTGTTTTTGAACACCCTTGAGAGTTGCTAAACAAAAATTCCATTGGATTCTAGCATGGGCCTAGCGCCTGAATTGTGGATCCATACCCTTTGACCTGGATCACACCCCCTACTGAGCCTAATAATTTGTTTTTTTTCTTCTGAAGTGAGTAGTTGTTTCTGGACATGTGTTGGTGGACTGCGTCTGAATCAGAAATTTCTACAAAAAACACTTGTGATCCTACTTGCACCCCATGGCTTATTTTAGTGCATTTTTTAATGGATATTTCAATTGCTTATAATTGTTTGCAATTTCTTCTCATCATAAAAAAATGCAAAAATAATATAATAGAATTATTTTATCTTGAATAATTGTTTGTGTGATATTGTCATGCTCCCTTAGGCTTTTTAACTCTAATTTTGATCCTTTGATTAAATTGAATTAAATAGTCTTTATGCTCTAAATCTAAGTACGATAACAATTAGGTAGAATTCCCTTTATCCTAACTTTACGGCCACCATTACATTACAACATTAGGACTTGAGTTTCCTTTAGATTTTATTTTATTTTGCATCCATCTAAAACAAGAATCTTTATTGATGAAAACTCAAAATACTTAAAAAAATAAAGATGTGAATCGTACGCAGTTGAGTCTTATGGAGGAGAATGAGGCGGTACATTCTGAACCTTGTTCTTCCTTCCATTTTTGGACTTTATTACGATTCAATTCGCAAACAGTTTTCATAAATAAGTGGAAAAATAGTAGGTGTCCTTACATTGAGATCCATTTGCTACTATCCCAACAAAACACTTAACCAATCAAATCTCTTTTGTCTTTGGGCCTTTTCTTTTGAAAATCTTTTCACAAAGAACATGATAATTCCTTTCTACGATAAATGTGTGAGTCTCCAAAGGTCGAGCTGCAGTAGAATGCGAAATTTAACATCATTTCCTAAAAAAATAAACAACAAACCAAAAAATTTCAGGTGAACTACGCATGTTTTGATCTCTCATTGCACGAGGAGGGTACGTAGGCACAAAGGTTCGCAACCGCGACAAACGCAAATAAAAAAAAAATTCTTTTTGCTCTTTAATAATTCATTTTTATGCATTCCCTTAACTTGTAAGCTTTAGATATAACACACCTTTTGATTAGAACAAACATAGTGGATCCCGTTGAATACAATGCATGTTTAGGATGCTAATACATTCTCTTTGCATAATCGACTCCCGTATCTTAATCTCTATTCTTTTGTAGATTTTATTCGATATTTTCCCATTTCTATTTTAGAACAATAAAGTTTGATGACGACTTTTACTTTATGAGTTAAGTTCTTCAACGATTTAATCTCAATTTTCCCGCTACACACTAACACATTTGTGTTTTTGTAGACTTTAATTCATGCACTCAGGAAGCGATCAAATGTGCGTGTATATGTTAGATTTGTTGACTTACCACAAGAATATTTGAGCACAAATATTTTTGAAATTGCATACATCATTGGTACCCAATCTCTCTTGATTAAATAAAAGAAAATCGTATTTTTAGTCATTATGCTAGAATTTTAATTCATGTAGATCTAGACAATATGGTGCATGAATCTTTCTTAGCTTAAAGATAATGACCCACCTTTTATGCAGGAGTGAATTATGAAATAATGCCATCATAACTTAGAATTTCCCATTATATATTTTATAAAAACCTAACATCACAGTTTTCACTTTAATTCTTTTATCAAATGTGATGTGAGCTACATTTGAAATTTTGAAATTTATAATTTTGCTAACCAGAATAAAAGCATATATTTTTGTATATATTACATAAATATTTTCTCCTACTTTTTCTGATATAATCAATCATCATTTCTTTTATTGCTTATCTCATCTCGTTCATTTCAAGTTACCATTTCCACCTCTCTCTCTTTTCTTTTTCTCACAGATCCGTTCTTCTCTCATTTTCTCCCCTACCATGGCGAGAAGCGCCTCTCAATCATCTCAATCCGCATCCTCCGCTGCCACGACACGACCGGGTGTCATGGCTCCTCGCGGCTCTGCTGCCGCCACAGCCGGAATGCGCCGTCGCCGTCTCGGTGGTGGCAACACCACAAGCACCAGCTCTGCCGCGGGAGGATCCAGCGGCGGAAACAACATGCTGCGATTCTACACCGACGACGCTCCTGGATTGAAGATATCTCCAACGGTTGTTCTTGTCATGAGTCTCTGTTTCATTGGCTTCGTCACCGCTCTTCATGTTTTTGGTAAACTTTACCGTTACCGATCCGCCGCTGGCGCCGCCGCTTGATTTTGTCTTAACGTTTTTGGATCTGATGATTAATATTTTGAAACATGCATGCTTTTAGTTTGTTTCTTTTCTTTTATTTTATTTATTTATAAATTTATTTTCTTTCATTGTAAATTTTATTTCGCTTGATTAGGCTTTCTGTTTTTTCTAGTTATGATTTGATTGAATCTTCTTACTGTTAATGGATTTATTTATTTATATTCATTCATTTATTTCACTTATGGCTAAAATTTAATTTTCTTAGATTTACTTTTGGTTGCATTTGTATCCTTCTCCCTTCATATATGTGTTTCATGCTTCAATATTCTTTGATTATTACTACAATTTTATATCCAAAACCGTGTAAATGAGATAGAATTTAGTGAAGTTATTAATGATGAATCTATTACATTCATAATAATGATTTATAGGCTGCATTATTTCTGCTTTTTAAGATGTATATATTATAAGAGGTATGTTGTTATTTGAACACCAAATTGTATTTGAGACATTATTACCAATGTTTATTTCTCTCCTACATTTTAATCTTGAACACTTACGAATTTTAGCGTCATATTCGTGTACTATTTCAAAAATACATACACAATATTGTCACAAAGTATAATATTAATGATATGTCAATTCATCAATTAATAACAACAATAGAGTATGCGCATCATTCAATTCAAACATGCACTGCATCTTCAACATGCTTCTCCATGCTCCTACGTAAATCATCTTCATGCGATTAAGGAATGTAGTTGTCTGCATGCATTCTTTCTGCTATTCGTTTTCGCCTCTCCATGCATTACCTCCTTCATGTTCAATTTCCAAGCATTCCTTTTCCTGCTGGTTTTTGCGTGCATCAACTTAACTCCAACGTATTTACATTTGCTTTCTATATGGGTGTGAGTGCATCAACTTAGTCACATATCATTCTAGTTGGATCTTGTTGTAACGAGTGATTTACATAAATTTATATACAACGTGTAATACAAGATGCCATGACATAATGTTTAGATATTTGGTCTATATAAGCTTCAAATAAGAGGCAAAGATGTGGAGCAAGATGTCCCACATATTAAGGAACATCTTGTCTCAGAAGCCATTTGTGTAGAAGTAAATCTCACGCTTGATTTGGTTCCTGTATGTTTGATAGATTGTGAGCTTTTTAAAATTAGAAAAGAATTCTCAAAAGATCAATTATCAAGACTAAATCAGATTGACAAAGATTTAGTTTGTGATTGATTGTGAATCAAATTTAATTGGATTATGAAGTTGCGCATTTTAAATTTACTTAAGCCGCAAGTTTTGATCAAAACCCTAAAAGGTCATGCAGTTGGATTTTTTTCTATTTAAGGAGAAGGTCTGCATACAGAAGAATCAGATCTTGAGATATTTAGTAATGTGTGTTTTAGTATTTAGAGTCTTGTGTTGTTATTTGTTTAGCTTTGTGAAAATCTATTCGTTTGAATCATTCTTATACAATGGAGTAGAGTTTGTGTCAAGTTGTAAGTGTTTTATCATTCAAACTATTTTGTAATTGTTAAATATTAGGGATAGTGGTTGAGAAAAATTGAGAGGGGTCTCATATTTATGAGAGTCCTAAATAGAAATTCACATGTAGTATTAAGAAGAAAGACCTTGAACTAGAAGAGTTCATCTACGATCAATTTGTCTTTTACTATTAAGAGTGAATTTTCTTTCTTGGGTTAACACCTCTAGACGTAGGTGTTATTGAACTAAACTAGGTTACCAACTTCTTGTGTTTATTTTACCTTATATACATATCATTTGTTACTGCATTAATCTTATCACACACATTGTTGCCACATTGTGTTTGACATCTTTCTAGAGGAGACTAGAATTTCAATTGATATCAAAGCAGACATTCTATTTTGGCTAGGTGAGCTCTAGGGAATCTATAAACTCTGTTAAAATGAATAACGCTAAAGAAGGAGGATCTATTAACCAGCTACCTATTACAGATGGCATGAACTATAACTATTGGAAAGCTTGCATGGTTGCCTTTATCAAATCCATATGGACAACAAAACATGGAAGGAAATCATCAAAGGATGAATACCCCCAATTATTACTGCACAACATGGTACTGAATTCTTGAATATAGAAGCAGACTGGTCCAAAGATGAAGATGATGTATCTCATGGAAATTCTCGTGCTCTCAACACTATATTCAATGGAGTTGCGAAAAATGTATTTCGTCTCATCAACACATGTACTGAAGGCAAATAAGCATCAGAAATCTCAAAACCGCGCATGCAGGTACCTCAAAAGTTTGTATGTAGAGACTCTAACTTGTCACCACCAAGTTTGAGAAATTGAGAATGACAGAAGGCAACCCTATTGTTGATTTCTATGTTCGTGTTTGTGACATAGATAACTGTTTTATTGCCCTGGGCGGAAAAATTTCTAAAGAAAAGTTGGCCAGAAAAGTTCTCAGATATCTTCTTAAGAGGTTAGTTTGACATGAAATTTACTGCTATAGAAGAAGCTCAAGACATCATTTCCATCAAAGTGGATAAATTTATTGACTCATTGTTGACTTTTGAAATGGCGATCAATGACAAACATAAAAAGAAAAGCAACGATGATGCCTTCAAAAATGATATGAAAGATGACAAGGAACAAGAAGAAGAGTATATTGATGATAATTTGTAAAAGTCTATTGCATTTCTTGCAAAAAAAAGTTGGTAAAGTTATGAGAAGACTTGACAAAAGATCAAGGAACAATGTCATGAAAAATGTCAAAGGCAATGTTCCTAACAACTAAAGAGGCTTCAACTCCCAAAACAAGAACAAATAAGGATACAATCTAAAAAAAGGAAAGGGAATATAATACAGTGAATATGACGGATTTTGACATGTTCAGGCCGAGTGTACAAACTTCCATCAAAAGAAAAAGAAGGAATACATTGTCGTAATTATTGCGACTGGATTTTTAATCAGAATCGCCACTATCAGTTTTTATCCTAGGGAAGGGCATCTAATAGGAAACCTTAATTCACAGACAGAGATTTTAGGTTTCGGACTTTATTAGACGAAAGGAATGTGTTAGGCACCTTTCATCTACGGTGTTCACAAGGATACTAGGTTTTAGGTTTGAGTTGGGGAAACAGGATATAAATTTTATTAGGGGAAAGGGTTTAAATTTTTTATAGGGAAACTCACTACGATTTTTGATCGTATGCCTATGTATCCTCTTATGAGGAATCAGAGTCTCAATTCGTAGTTCGTATGGATTGGTGTTTTTTAGGGATTGCAAATGTACTTTGAATCACCTCCCATTTTAGCCGGGAGTAGTGATTGTAGAGATTTTGGCTAAATGCGCAGTAAGTCAAAATATGCTTGAAACTTTTTTGCAAAAAAAGTTGTTTAGATTATTTGATTGCGAAAAAAAGTTTGAGATTTGTTGAGTGTTTTTTATAGATATTAATTGCAAAAAATCTTATTAATGCATGATATAAATAATATTTAATGCAAATAATATAAAAAAATAATATGTAATTTTGATGTAAAAATAATTTAAGTGATATAATAAATAATATTAATATTCATAATAAAAATTAACAATTATAATAATTATAAAATAAAAAAAATAAAGGAAAAAAATTATGAACAGGGGGGTTTCATCTTCTGGTTGTTAAGCTCTAGCACAAATTCTGGAGAAGGGATGTTCTGAAAGGGACAGAAGTTCTGCAGGGGATGCAGGGAAATTGACTGGGTTTTGGCCCAGTCGCAGAACTTCTGAAAAGGTACGCTGCAAGCTGGTAAAGTCAGAAAATAGGGGTCTTAACTTCTGGGCTAAGCCCACTACACATAATTTTTGGAAAAGGGAAGACATAAAGTATATAAGTCTAATGATGATTCTGGGAAGGGAAAAAAATCTGAAACCTGGGTTAAGTCTAGTCAGAACTTCTAAAAGGGGAATTACATCTGAAGATAAGAAATTAGCATGAACATATGCAATCAGATTATAAAACTATCTACAGATTTGTTCCCTATGGTTTCAACCCTGCCCATGTTCTTCTGACCCTATTCATCTTAAACCCAGCATGAAAACAATAAAGAAACAAGCTAAAATTTACTACCCCTTTGGCGCTCTTGCTTCTGATTCAGATGCATGTTTTGCTGTCCTTTCCTTCTTATTCTGCAAGTTCTGGTGACAGCAGCGACGGAAGGTGGAGCGACGATGATTGAAACTAGGGTTCTAGATATTGGAACCTCAGTTACTCTTCTGCATGTTCTTCTTCTGGGTTTTCTAGAAATTCGACTCTCCTTGCTCTTTCTTCAAGCGTTATCGTATTGCTTTTCTCTGAAAATTCTTCTCTCTCCATGTATTCTTTTTCTCTTCCCCTTTCTTTTTTTCTCCACCCTTTGTTTGCAAATTTGCTCCTCTATTTATAATGTTCAATTTTTGGGATTGGACGATGGCTAGAGCAAAGATTGAGGAGAGAATTAAAAAGATTTGATTGAAATTAATTCTCTGTGGAAGATTTGATTGAAATTGATATAGTGCACGTCTAATAGATTTGGGCTTGGGTGGCTTAGCCTCTGAAACTCTGAGCTTGGGCTGTGAAAGATAATCTGATTCTGCCCTTGCTTATAATTTGACTCTTCTAGAAGATCTGATATTCCAGTTCTGTACCAGTACGAGCTTGTGCGTGATTCTGGCTCTGATCTGCACAGCTTTTGCGTTTGTTTCTGTAAAGAAGAACTTCTGTGATTTGTTTCAGAAGTTCTGTTGGGTCAGCGCTTGATCCACACAGCCTAGCACTTCTTCATTTGCAGTCATAACTTCTCCTTTAATTTCAATTAGGCCTAGAATTAATTCTTCCTCTTTCTATTGTATACTCCCAGATTTAATTTTCACCCCTCCTTTAAATAACAACTAAATCTTCTTGATTTAAAATACATCCTGTGATACGGTGGGAGAACTGACTTGAGGTTTTGCGTTTTGTATTCGCAAATGTTTCGGTTGAGCAAGAGTCGCCACCGAC